AAACTTGTGAGCTCACCACAGTGGGCAAGGACACGAAATGGACGGACGAACGCCTGTTGATAGACCCGCTGCTCGGGTCACGACAACGAACAAAATACTAAGGTTGATGAAAGACGCCTGCCGCGTGGACGGCTAGCCTAAACACAGGCCGAACGACAGCATTAGAGAGCACATCGAGGTTGGTGAACGCGCGACGAGTGGGCGGCATTACAGACAGAGTGTGCGTGGTGGTTGCAACGGCGAAGTGAGCTTGGGCACAGCATGACAGCAGTCGTGCGAACTGACTGAAGGGCTGCGTTGTAATAGTACGGGCGCCTGCGGCGTGAGTGGCTAAGTTTGCGTCGGCCTGGACTCTGGTGGAGTCGATGTGGCAACGGCGTGCAGGAGGACGTGGACGTAAGAAGCGCGTTCGTTAACGAACGAAACAGGAACAAAAAACAAAGGCAAATGAATACATAGGTCGTGTTGTCTTATAGGCACACTACCGGCGCGGGTGAAAAGCTATCGACCGTCCGTCTGCGAGTCTTGGACTTTATTGGCACTGGGCGACCAAAATCCCGTAGCTAGTTTTAAAAAGCTATTGCATGATGGTCATACAGGGGTGCTAATTCGACAAAGCTCGACGATTGATACGAGTGACGAGCGGATTACGTAAAAGGTACGACATCTACGAAGTTACGCTGGGCTACTTCGGAAGTCTACAAAATGGCAATAACGAAAGTGGTGTAGGTATCAACGACGCCTGGCGGGAAGATGACGCGTTCGCGGTCTCCAGGAACGACAAGATCAGCGCCTACGAAGACAGCACCCACGACTACGAGCCCAACGACATAGTCGACAATGTTGATGGTATCATCGGACTCGGCGACGGGTACAGGGACGCCAGCACGACAACAGCCGGTCTTGGAGAGTCAGCAGCCATCGCCGCCAATGGAACAAGCGGCGATGGATTCGGCGGATGGTGCCCAGCGGCAGGCAAGGGACGACGAGGCAGACGAGGCGAATGAGGAGAAGGAGACGCACGACGACGAAGACGACGTGCAGCAGGAGCCAGCAGCGAAACAGGGTACAGCAGCGGACAACTGACGTGCGGCGAACACGGACGGAGACGGTGGTGATGCGGCGGTAGCGGGGTCAGACGCAGCTGCACTGGTAGCGGCGATGCAACAACTAGTTAGAACGATGGCACTGCTCGAGTCATGAGTCGGGGCCATGAAGACGACGCATGTAGCGCCGGTGGCACCTTCAGTCTCTCCCGCGCAGATCACGCAGCGGCGGCGGGTGCCGGACACCACCCAGGAGTCAGTGACGACGGTAGTGCAGCAGCTGGCGCCGCCACGGCGATCAGCCTCACCGCCCGTAGCACGAGTAATACAAGCGGCGGTGGACGACGGGCGCGTTCGGGTAGCAACTGGAGCAACGATGCCGCGCCGGCCGTCATCACCCTGCGACAGCAGCGACGAGAGTGATGACAGTCCGTTATCAGTCTTGGCCACTTGAACGTAGACTTCCTCGGCCCTTTCAGGTCCGATGGTTACGGTCTTCCGCCCCACACCGGTTGTAAGGTAGTTCACTGGCTTACGGTCCCACCAGAGACACGCAGCCATAATGGGCACCGCTTTCGATCTTGTGAGCTTAAACGATCCGCGCGAGCGGTTTTGGCAAGGTCATGAGTCGGAACCGCTGCACTTCGATCCTCCGAGATCTCGACTTTGCGAACAATGAAGACCCAAGGCGCCAAGCCAAGCCGTGGAAGATTCGAGATGTTGTTGATGTACTGCAGGAGCGATTCTTGGGTGCTTGGACGCCGCCGAATATCATCTTGTTCGACGAAGGGGCATTACTAGCTACGTCCAGCCAACACGACTAGAATGTAAATGCCAGATAAGTATCATCGCTACGGAACCAAGACGTATATGACTTGTGATACAGCGAATCCATACTGCCACAGGTGAGCATCTATTTTGGTTGGATTGCTAAGTCGTAAGCTACGATTTTAACGCTTTTAAAGTGCTCTGAATGTTGTATCTATCATATTTGAGATCTACGTCGACAAACGCCAAGCTAAGGAGTCGGATAAGCTGTCATTTGACCACAAGACAGGTGCTGCTACCGTCATTCAAAACCTGAATATAGTTCCTGCCGGTCATGACCGAGGATTTCGCGTTGTGGTCATTGACGACCTTCTATTCGTCCGTCTCTCTAGCCTTGCAGCTTATCTCTATGTCTATGTATGTGATCGGGACGATCATGGTAAATTGGCTGGTCTTCCACCGTGAAGTCATCGCGGGCCACAAGTTGCGACCCCGGGGAGATTCGCCGTGAGAACGTCATCGTCAGTCATTGCCCAGTGCTTGGAAAAACGTCGCGTGGCGTTCAATTGGTGAGCAACAAGAAGGCCAATCACGCACAGTATCTCAGGTGGTTTGTACCGGTCCTCTCTACGAATGTGTTGTCGGAGTTCCTGTAGCGTCTGTATGTTTTTTGTTCTGCGAGCCCTGGATCGCTCTAAACGCGCTCGCTGGTCCACAGTCTGCCTCTTGACACGGATTGTCTCACTTGTTATCCACTTCCACCTACGCTTTGGTAGGAAATAAAACATGAAGCTAAGAGGTGAGTCCTTCTTCGCTCGTGGTACTGGGATCGGATGGGCGGTCTCCTGCACCAAACCACGAAAAGACGACATCTCATCCTCGAACACTGACAACGTTGCACCCCACTTTAGGCTCCGAAGTGCATTCATGTCCATTTAATTGAGGGACAAGATGCCACCCTGTGACTCGATAAAGGCTCCATCCATGACTGGGGGCCCCTCATCATCAGATAGCTCGTCGTCATCTTGTTGACGACGCACAGGCTCCAGGTAGTCGTCGTCCGAAAACTGGCCGTAGTCGGAGTCCGAACTCAAACTCTCGTACTCTTCTCGGCGGTCCCCAGGCTTCATCAAGTTCACATCAGATGAATCGCGTGGCACGAGTGGATCATCGCACTCTTGATCGTCCTTTGGCCTCCGCCGACTCATCTCCAGAATATGGGTCCGGATCCGCTTCTAATAGCAGCTGTTGGAAGGCGCTGATCACGACAGTCTGCTCCGTGACGTCCATCATGGTTGATGCGTCTAATTGGGAGATCTTAAAAGCGCTTACAGCCGCATTCCGGGACAAATCAGGTGTTTCGTTGTCCTCACTATCGCTTCCAAACAGCGCATCGACTGTGTTGGCAGAGAGCGCCACACCGTAGTCAATTGTAGTCGCTCGCACCAATTCACCTTCACCTCCATCGTCTCCAGTACCACTTACACCGTCACTGTCTTCTCCATCGTATCCTTCATTCCCATCAGCTTCATCCCCACTTTCCTTACAACTAGCATCCTCCTCGTCATCCTGGATCAGTCCTGTTTCAATCGCGTGGTATACAACAGCTCTCCCTCCTACCCGAAAATACTAGTTGCCGTCTGTATTCGCACAGCAACCGCAAAACGTACCAGAGAAAATGCTCTCACCTTCTTCGGAAGTGCTGCTCGGTGGTTTGGAGTATGTCCACATGGTAGACGGACCGGTGGGGCGCTTTGATGCCCATTCTGCCGCCTTCCGCTGGCTCCACAGGTCGCCAAAGTCCACAAGAGGCGCATCCGGTGCGGGTGCCGACGCTTGCGGCGCAGGTTTCGTTCACCCACTGGCTCGGACGGGCATCTCACTTGTGGCTGACGCAGTCAAATCTTGAATGGCTGAGAATTCTTCCTCCTCTCTTCTGGGGACGAATCATTTGCTGACGGCTGGGAAGACGCAGTATGTCTCTTTCCTGGTGATGTCTTTGTGTGCGGAGCAAAACCCTCTCCCGTCTTACGTCCTTTCACACCGAAAGCAAATTTGATTTCAGTATCGGGTCGCGATTTTCAAGCCAACTCCTGTTTGAGAAACAATAAAGCCGTAAGTTATTAATTAAATTTTGAACTACGTCGTAACTTACGACTTCGGTAACAGGGTTAACCCTTTTGCTACCAAACCAACGAAAGCTGCATGTTTTGCAAAAGTAGACGGCAAATCCTTTATAAAATAAGCAAAGCTTGTTGGTTTTAAACACGTCATGTGGAATTTCTCTGGCTCGAGGGAAATCGCCCTTTAATTCTGGCCAATGGCGTTGCAAATAAGTTTCACCTTTGCTCAAAACTTCGGCATATTTATCGTATTTTCTCCAATCAGCAGCCAAGTGCAAAACGACGTTAAACACGTAGGAAGTGTTGGTTTTGTTTTTGATGGCTAGTGAGCCATTGTAATCCCCTTCCAACGTGATAGACGTTAGTGTGGTAAATGTCAACAATACCAGCAAATTGTGCTGGTTTACGAAAATGTTAGCTTTTTTGTATGGAGTCCAAGCTACTTGACCTACTATAGAAAGCAAAAGGGTAAATGAATCAAGCACCTTCCACCGTATTTATGTCGTGAAATTGCCTACCTCGACGTGACATAATACTGCTACAGCTACAAATAATTGCTCTTGACCAGAATCTTTTTATAAGGTTCTCGTTCTGACTGAATCAACTTTTTAAAAAAAAAATACTTTTTTTATCCTAAATCTTTATGCACTTTGCGCGGTTAAGTTAACATCACAGAGATCCATTACTTGACCACTATTCCAACTCGACGCCAAGTTCTGAGCATAATATCGTCTGAGAGCTGCGACCATCCGGACCTACTGTCCGGGAGCCTCAATAACAGTCGACAGCGTCCTTCCGAGATGAAATGGTGGGGCTTTGCGTGTAAAATGGTGCTTTCGCTTAGGAAATTGTTGTGGGGATTAAAAATCCAGACTTATCGACGGTCATATTATAAATTTATGTGTCGCAAAAGAGAAACAGCTTTTAAGAAACTGGCGCTTTTGGCGATTTTCGATAGCGCATAATTATTATTTGTGCTCTACTAGTTGCCTACGTATAATCTACAAGCTCGTCAACAGCGTAGATGGTGTGCTTGTCTACTTGCACTCTGGCGCTTAGTCCGTCATAGGAAGAGGTTCCGACCGCCTGGGCCATTTAGAAGGGGACCCATTCGGCGGATGGTGATCACTTGACGTCTGTCCGACCGAATAACATACAGTGTAGCGATTCCTTGGTTCGGTTGGTTCGGTTGGTTTTGTGAAAGCCGTGCTGCCGCCGCTTGCAGAAAGTCGCCCTGTAAGGAAGGTCAGACGTCGGGTTACCTCGAGATGCGTAAACTCGTCGACGGACTGCAGAATTATGTTGTCCGTCCACCTATCTGAGGTTGTAGCATAGGTCGCGTGTAAAAGTCGTCATGATGATGTTTGGCGGCTGCGCTGACATCCAGTGAGGAGGGACATTATTGGCGACATCCAGATGGCTGGCGGCGTCAACAGAAAGTCGCAATATGTTGAGATGCCACATAATTAATAGAATAGGATCGACGGGACGTGCTCTCTGCTATCATAATAGCATTATTGATCATAAAATAATTCAGACCGTAGCCGGGCAGTACATACCGCCACAATGCCGACCTGAGGTGGAGGAGCATCGCCTACCGTGGTAGCAGTCCGCGACAGGCGCCTGCTACGGAGTTCAAAATGATGAGATCGCGGCGGAGTTGCGGAACGCTTTCGTGCTGGTTCAATTTAGGGAAAAATGAGAAAGTCGAAGAAAACCAAACAATTCTGCCTTACCCATGCTTAGATTTGCGCTCGGCGTTGCAGATTCAGGAATGAACGCCTGCACTCGAAGACGGAGTAGCACGTTCTCAATCTGATAGAAGAAAAGAGACCGATATTCTCCATTCCTTCAGATTCTCCATGCAAGCGGACATTGAATTTTGGAAAGAGACAAAACTTTGAAATGACGTAATGACTGGGTCAGCTCGTCACACAGAGAAGAGGCCGCCAGCAGAGCCGAAGAGAGCTCTGAGCCTTCATTGAACAGCTTGATGGGCAGCTTCCGGGAAACCAACTGCACATCCGCTACCAGCACCGCAGCTTCCGCGCCATCCTTGAGCGAACGTTGCACCACCGTCAGCTGCGTGTTCAATGACACGCGGCGGTGGGGCTCCAGCTCCTGATGACTACTGAGCTGGGCTAACTGTAGGATCATTATTCTCAAGTCGGATTTTGGTTTATTGGGTTTTGGGTATATTGGGCGACCCACCCACCCACAAAATGATGAAGGGAAGGGTTAGTTGGATTTAAAATGAAAGAAACTACTAAAAAGTTTCCGAAGCAGCCACTAGTGAGCTCACGTGCTCTCATTGCAGACGCGGCTTTCCTATGCATCCT